AGCCGGACCTGCCCGACCTTCGCGGCAGGGAGCTGCACGACAAGGCCATCGGCTGCATGGCCATCGCCCCAAACTCCGTCACCATGGCCACGGGGAGCGAGGACGGCTTCGTCAGGCTGTTTTCCATCAAGAGTCCCGCCGGGGAGGAGCTCGCCGTCGCAGCAGAGTTTGTCGAGGCCTGTGCCCGCTTTGGGGGGCCCGTCAGAGCCCTCGATTTTTCACCGACGGGCGCCTTCTTGGCCGCCGGAGGGGACGAGCCGGGCGTCCTCAAGATTATTATGACCGCGCAGACGTCCAATGTGACGATATTGAGAGCCCCCGCTGCGGGGATGGGCAATGACGCCATTTCTTCCGTCGCTTTCGACCCCACCGGCGATTTTGTCGCCACAATTGGCGAAAAGGGAAAGGCCGTTATTTGGGACGTGGAAAAGTGCAAGCTCATCTCCGAAGTCGACTTGAACAACAGAACCGCCAATTGCCTGTCCTGGGCACCCGGAGGAGGAAGCATTGTGTTTGGCACCAACAAGGGTATTGTCGTAGCGGCTCGGACTACTTGGTTGTTTGATCATCTGCTTGAAGATACGGCCGATCAAGATGATGACGACGACGAGATTTATGCTGCATCCTCTGGCAAAGACTCCGTGTCAGCCCTAGCGTGGAGCCCGAATGGCCGCTACTTGCTTGCTGCCAAGGAGGACGCGAGCATTTCCCTGTGGGATGTGCCTGTGAAAAAGGTCCTGGGATGCTGGAAGGCTCAAGAGGCGCCCCAGCGGCTCCTCTGGCATCCCGCAGTCAACGCCATGCTCTTCATTGACAAGATTGGGCAATGGGGCATTGTCCCGGACGTTGTCCCGCAGCACATGCTGTCTCCCCATTCCGATGCCCCGTCCGTCGAGCTTCCGGTTCTGCCGGAGACGAATGGGAAGCAAAACGCCAAGGATATCATGGCCGACCTGGGGGACGACGACGATGATGGCACTGGTGATGTCCGCCGCTCCAAGGGAGCAAAGCTGCGTCGCCAGATGCAACAAGAGCGCAAGAAGAAGACGCAAACGGGAAAGGCGAACAAGAACAAGAAGAACAAGAAGAAGGGCATGAATGCCGAGGCGACAGATGACGACGAGAACGATTTTGAAACTGACTTTCAGTTTAACGCGAGCGATGTGGAAGCGGACGATGAGGACGATGTCCGTGACAGAAACGAGGATACCTCTGAAAGCGAAGGGGCATCAGAATCAGATGAGGAGATCCCCGGTGAGTTTGCCGGTCTGGAGAACGGCGGCGTGCGTCTGCCGAGAAGAAAATCAAGGTCCAGCTCAGGGGGCCGCAGGCGAAGAAGTCGGTCAAGTTTTGTTAGGCAACGCCCTTTTGTACCTACTTCAACCCCGCTATTGGAAAAGAAGAACAAGAAGAGACATATTCTAGCGTGGAATCTGGTAGGAGCTGTCCTGTCATTCGACGAAGGTTCGCATGATGTGGTGGAAATCGAATTTTCCGACGCGACGAAACGAAGTGTCGGAATCAAGGATCACTTTGGCTACACGATGGGATGCCTCTCCGAAACCGGAGTGTTGCTCGCATCCCCTAAGAAAGCGGAACACGGGAGCTTGATCACGTTCCGCCCCTTCTCGTCATGGTCGAATAATTCCGATTGGACGCAGTTCCTCCCAGCAGACGAAGACATCTCGGTGGTCGCGCTTGGCCAGCGCTTCGCGGCGGTTGCCACGACACCAAACAATGTGGTCCGCCTCTTTTCCCTGACCGGAATCCAAACGAGCACGTTTGGAGCGCCAGGTACGGTGATATCCATGGCCGCCAGTGGGGACCAGCTGGCCGTCGTCTACGCTTCGCGCGAGTCACCCGTGCTCATGTGCGAACTGCTGGACGTGAGCACACTGGGTGACGTGGAAAAACTTTGCTTCTCCGGCAACATGATGATGTGCCCGGACACGAGATTAGAATGGGTCGGCTTCGCAGCGGACTCGGGAGACCTGTGCTCGTACGATTCAAACGGCTGGTTGTGGATGCTAACCGACCCGAAAGGGGGAAAACGTTGGGTCCCCTTGATGCAAAACGCGGCAAAAGCAGCCGAATGCGACTGGTTCTGGGTAGCGTCCGCAACCTCATCAAACCTAATCGGTGTACCCTGCCTCTCCAACGAGCGTCACCCGCCCGCCAAGCCACGTCCAGCCCTCCGCACGCTCCCGCTCTCCTACCCGGTGATCGAGCAGGTGAGCAAGTCCGGCAAGGCGACGATCACCGAACGCTACCTCCGCACGAAGCTACAGCTGCGTCGCGCGCTCTCTGCCAAAGCCGAGGTGGACGAGGGCGCGGACTCGGACGACCCGGACGCGGACGCGGCCGAGGACGTCGTGCGGCGCATGGAGGTCGAGACCGACAAGTGCGTGTTGCCGCTGATGGAGGAGGCGTGCCGCACCGAGCACAACATGCGCGGGCTCGACCTCGCGACAAGGCTGCACACGAAAGTGTCGTTCAAGTACGCCATTGAGCTCGCGACGCACTTCAAGCGCGAGGCGCTGGCTACGCGCGTCAAGCAAGTCGCGTTGCGTAAGATGGAAGTCATGGACACCGTGCAGAGCGGCGAGCGCGTGCCGCATGTGCAGAAGAGGGTCGCGTCGTCGCCAGTCACGCCCGCGCCGGAGGGCCCGCGCGTGGTCGAGAAGGGCGCCAACGCATTGCCCGAGGTGGACATGGGCGACATCTCGGACGACGAGGAGGAGCCGCTGCGCAGGGGGGCCGGGGAATCAGAGGGGCCCGAGGAGGCCGAGGGGGAGGTCGAGGGGACGGAGGAGGCCGAGGGGGCAGAGGAGGCCGAGGAGGCCGAGGAGGAAGAAAAGGCGAAGAAGCGCAAGCCTGTGGAGAAGCGCGGGTCGCTGGCCAAGGAGGTAGAAGAGCGTGCGGCGCGCAAGCGGAAGCTGCGCGCGATTGAGATGTCGCAGGCGAGCGTGAAGGGCGCCGGGCCGGGGGGCAAGCGGGCGAAGACGGCGGAGGGCAGCGCGAAGAAGAGGCCGCGCAACCGCTTCTTGAAGAGATAGAGGGAAAGTTGAATCGTTTGTATCGTTTGAATTGATCCGCGTGATCGGGTCGTAGGGTTTCGACGCGAGGTCATACCATAAAGTTATATTTTTGTAATTTCCGCTTTTCACAGTACCCAAGGGTACAGTATCAGCACCCACATCGTTACCACTGCTGGTCCCAGCTCTCCCAGGAGATAGACATCAACCTCGCAGGACAAAGTTACGTCCCCTGCAATTCATCTCTCCCTGTCATTCCCCACACCCCTTCCCTTCCCCGTCCCTCCCACAACTCTCGCCCTTCCCCTTCCCACCATGGCCTTCCTCCCCCCTCTTCCCGTATCCCCCCGGCCGTCCCTATCCCCCCCCCTCCTCCACGCCACCGCGCCGCACTACCGCACGGCCTCCGCGCGCGCGCGCGCGCACCTCCGCATGTCGAAGCTGGTAACCACGCCGCCGCAGGCTGCCGAGCTAGTAGACTCGCTGCTCACCAAGGTGCAGAACACGGACAGCGGGCTGTCCGTGAGCGGGGCCCAGCGGTCCGAGATCGACTCGATAATCCGGTCGCTCATGGAAATCGGCAAGTCGCAGACGCCGATGTCGGACCCGCGTCTCTTTGCAAAGTACACAGTCGCGTACACGTCCACCAACGACCCCTCCAACCCGGACCAGAGCCCGCCAGCGGGCGGACTGTTCCGCAGCCGGCTGGGGCGGCTGGTGTTCGTGACGCGCGGGCTGTTCCAGCACGTGTTCGCGCCGGACACGGTGGTGAACCTGGTGTGCTTCCGCGTGCTCGGGGTGGTCAAGGGGTGCGTGTCGCTGCGCGGGAAGCTGGTGCCGATCGAAGACGAGAAGCTGGGGGAGAACGCGATCAAGGTGACTTTCGAGAGACCGAGGTTGAGGCTGGGCGGGCTCGTGTTTCAGTTCGGGCCGAGGTCCAACGTTAAGCTCGCGACGACGTACGTGGACGACAGGGTCAGACTGGCCGTGGGCGGGAGGGGGAGCTTGTTCGTGTTTCAGAAGGGCGCGGAGGCGGAGAGCGCGGTCGGGGATGAGTGGAATGAGCTGTTTCAGGCGCAAACGATGCCGGTGGTTATCTTGCCGGTGCTGGTGCTGGGAGGGGTGGCGCTGGCGTTCTTGGCGCCGTGGCCACTTTGGGTGGCTGCTGTGGTAGTGGCATTGATTTTCGGGTTCGTGCTGAAGAGGGGGGGCATTGCGCATAATGCGACGAGCGTGATCAAAGAAGATCAGTAGGCAATGTGGTTGAATTAAGTGAATTAAATGCAGGATCGCACGTGTAGAGAAATTCCAAACTGAACGGTGTTGGCAGTTTTATGGTAGTTGCAGATTGGGGGGCGGGGGGGGTCTGGGGGAGGAGACGCGGGGGGTCGGATGACAGCAAGGATAACTTTAGAGACGGCGGAAAACCAGAGTCGCTAGACGTGCTTCTTTCTCTCGTTGGGTGAGACGCGGTCGGGGAAGGCTTAGGGGAGTTACTTGGTGACGTCGCGCTTGATTGCCAAGTAAGCGATATCCTCCAACTCGACGGCCTGGATCGACTTCTGCACCGCCATCTTGGTGGCGACGCTCTCCTTGGACGCGGCATATACCCTGTTGTGGGTGGGGGGTCAGCGCGGAGAGGTGGGACGACGAAGGATGTTGTTAGATATCGAAAGGGTTTGCAAAAGGGTGAAAGAGACAAGCGCAACAGAGGGAACGTACGTCCTGTGGCGGACGGGGGCGTACTCAGCCGACCAAAGGATCATGATAATCTTAGACTTGGTAACGGTCGGGGTCTCCTTCCAGGAGAAGTCAGAGATGATGTACCGGCAGCCGTTCTCTGGGAGGCCGGAGACGAGGTTCTTCCACTCGGTCTCGAGATCGCCTGCGCTGGGCGGCATGCACTTGTCGACGCCGACCTCGGACATGTCATCGTTGATCTTGAGGATGATGCTGCCGTACTCGCGCTTGGACAGCGCCTTGTACGCTTCGACACACTTGTCCGCGATAGCGATGCCGCTGGCCATTTTGCTCGAGGGGGGTTGCGGGGGAGGGGAGGGGGGAGGGGCGGGGTGTTGGGGTTTAGTGGAGCGGTAAACGGGCAGGTAGGTGGGAACGGCGACGGATAATGTTACGGATTTGGCGTCGAAGGGGGTTGTACGGGAGCAACGTGAGAGGTGGAACGCGGGAGTGATTCAGTCTGCGTAGGGGGGGGAGGGGCGGCAGGGGGGTAAATTGGGGCGGGGGGCAGTGCGATGTGGCACGACGCAGGGGGGCGCGGGGGCGAAGGAGCGAGGGGGGCGTTGCGGGGGGCAGCGGCAGCGGGTTTGAATGGCGGTCTTACAGAGCGGGGCCCGTGTGGCTGGGGTGCGCGCGGGGGGGTGCTTACAGCGGGCGGGCTGGCGGCGCGGGGGGTTGTCATCGGGGCGGCGCCACGTGTGCCCCGGGGCGCGGGGGCCGGGCGCGGGCGGCCAACCATGTGGAGGAGAGGGCGCGTCCTTACAGCCGGGCCCCGATGCCCGCGCCAACGGAACGGCGCGCGCCGCGCGTGGCCGTTCGATTCGGACGCGCCTGACGCTGACACTGTGGGAAAAGTTGAAAAAACTGTAAACCCCTACACTTGGCCGTCGCGCTGCGCGTTAGCAACGGCTTTTTTTTGAAACGGGCCGACGCGGAGACCAACGTGCCGCCCATCCTCCGCCTGCTGCGCGCCCGATGTAATCCTGCACGACCACCTTTACAGTACATTACTGTACACTTCTCTAATCCCTCTCGCCAACTCAAATGCCTTGCCCTACCACCCTCCTACCCGCTACCTCCGTCCCCAGGTCAACGATGATCACCGCGCCTGTGTGACCCCTTCGTGGCGGTCTTGACCGCTTGCCCCACGGCCACTGCACACAGAGAATATTGTACAAGCGTTCCACGACGGTTCGGAATCGTCTCAGCCTCAGGAGAACGCCTCCGAAAACGCGATGCTTCCCCATCCCCCTCGACCACTGCCGATGGTGCGCCTGGCTACCTCCGCCTCTTCCCTTGCCCGGGGCAGCGTCACGCAAAGAAGGGGTTAGTCTCATCCGAGAACGAGAAAGCGAGCCCCGCGCTGCTCTCCGCGGCGATCTCCGTGGCGATAGCGGTCTTGGCCATCTCCCTCTTCGCCCTCCTGCCTCCCGTCGGCTTGCCCCCAAGCCCGTCGACGTCCCCAATGCCAAGCCCGAGCCACGAGTCCATCCAGCAAAGCGCCTGCCGGTTGTACCGAAGGAACGCGAACTGGAACCCATGCCGGTGCCCCCACCGTTCCATCCTGCCCCCGGGCAGGCCCTTGGTGGCGACGTCAAGCCGCGCCACGCGGTAGCAGCACATCATGGGCCCGCCGCCGCGCAGCCACACCCCGCCGCCGTCCAGCACTGGCCGTGCCTCGCGCGAGCTGCGGAACGCACGCACGTCCGTGTCCGCCGTCATCCCCAGGTGCTCCTCGGACGCGATGTCTAGTGCTACTACTTCGCGCGCCGACAGCTCCGATGGCGGGAGCGAGAGAGCGTTCTCGTGCCGCCCGTTGTCGTTGGCTACGTACCGGCTCTCGATGGACAGGTGGAATGAGTCCCCGAGGAATGGGCTTTCGTAGACCGTCAGGCAGTGCTCAGGGAACCCGTTCCATGCCTAGCGCAAAATGTTGTTGTTGTTGTTGTGTGTGTGTGTGTGTGTGTG